TTTTTATGTTAATAAACGAGTTTGTTATAAATTATGCTCCATTGATCATTTTTGTTTTCTACCCATCTTTACTTCCGTGGTAGTGAGATGGTGTGATGTCCTTACTGGGATGGTATAACTCATTCCTTATTTAATCATTTCAGATAAGGAAGACGTTGTTTTCAAGCCCGTTCCGCAGAAAGACAGCGAAGGGGACGCCTAAAGATTTCATAGTTATATCTATAGTTCTTATTTCGAGTATCTCTTTTAGTTAATTGTTCCTTCATGTTTTGAGTACGTTTTGGTTATTGTATAAGGGATGATAATCAAAATTTTTATTACGCTTCCGCATTTGAAATTTTTAATACATATATTTCATTTAAATTTCCGGGGCTGTTACATAAATAGACTTTTTCAAACTTGATTTCAGACATACTATTGCTGGATAAAATCACATAATCAACATGTCTCAAAAACAATAAAGAATTAGCATGTGCCTGAATAAAACCATGATTCTCAACATGACCAAGTATGCAAATTAAAGAAGAACCTTTATTGACAAAAACAAACTAGACAGTAGTAGTATCTTAAGCGAACCGATGCATTCAAGAATCATGGTGTAGAAACTTTATGATTCTACCATTTAAAATTTAAATGACACCTCATTAGTTAAAGTTTGATTCGAATAATAATATCAAAAAGATAAATCTTCTGAAAGTTTTTCACATGTTTTTAATTAAATTTATAAATATAACTATTATGTAGTAGGAGAATTATTTTTGATTAACTTTAGTTTTTATCTAACTTTATGATTCTACTATTTAAAATATAAATGACATCTTACTTATTAAAGTTCGGTTTGAATAACAATATCAAGAAAATAAATCTTTTGACAATTTATTAACTGTTTTTAGTTAAATTTACAAATATAATTATTATGTTGTACGGGAATTATTTTCAATTAATTTTAGTTTTTATCTAACTTTATAATTTCACTTTTTAAAATATAAATAGTATCTCATTGATTAAAGGTTGGTTCGAATAATAATATCAAGAAGATAAATCTTCTAAAAGTTTTTTAACTGCTTTTAATTAAATTTACAAATATAATTATTATGTTTATACGAGAATTATTTTTGATTAATTTTAATTTTGATTCTACTATTTTAAATATAGATGACATCTCATCGATTAAAGTTTGGTTCGAATAATAATATCAAGAAGATAAATTTTCTAAAATTTTTTTAACTGTTTTTAGTTAAATTTATAGATATAACTATTATGTTACTGGGGAATTATTTTTAATTAACTTTAATTTTTATCTAATTTTATGATTCTACTATTTAAAATATAAATGGTATCTGATTGATTAAAGTTTGGTTCGAATAATAATATCAAAAAAATAAATCTTCTGAAATTTTTTTAACTGTTTTTAATTAAATTTACAAATATAATTATTATGTTGTAGGGGAATTATTTTTGATTAACTTTAGTTTTTATTTAATTTTATGATTTCATTATTTAAAGTATAAATGGTACCTTATTGATAACGTTTGATTGGAATAATAATATTAACTATCTACAATTCTATTGAGAGAGTATCATCTAAGAAATTTTTAACTTTAAAAAAAATAAAAAAAAACAAAATAGTGAAAAGTTATGGCTGAGTGTGTCATAATTTATTTTAACTTACTTTAATATAAAATTTAGTAATTTTATTATTAAAAGCAAATAAAAAACTGTTACTTCGTCAAATTTACTTTAGTGTATCTTTATTTTTGAAGATTAACGATTAAATAACTAAAAATAATTAAAAATACCCCCCCTGAAAATAGAAACGGATATAGTATATTGAAAATTATATGAAATTAGAAAAAAAAAAAAATCAGCATATATAACTTCTTTGCATAATTTTGTTGTGTGCTACTTTTTTAAAATTCTAACTTTCTCATCTAAGTAAAATTAAAAATTATTTTTACTGGAACTTTATGAAATAATTTCATGATCTTAGGAAAAATTATATAAACAACAATTTTAGTAATTATATTATATTATATTATATATCACAAAAGCACCATTGACGCTACGCACTGTCATTCCTGTCTCCAGTTCGATTCCGTCGGATCCATGGCGTGCCGCATTAATTTTCCGCTCCGGTGCCCTTACCGTTCGCCGTATTTTGCGCCTACTTTTCAAACCAGAATCTCTAATAACCTTATTTCATCGTCTCTTTCTCACGCGAAGGTACGAGCACACACCTCTCTCTCTCTCTCTCTATATATATATGTGTGTGTGTGTGTGTACAGTGTACATACATACAGAAATATGATACGCAGAAACGTCTCTGCCTTTGTTAAATATATACTTTTCTTTTGTTGATTAAGTCCGTTTTATTCTAATTGAAGATCAGTCTTCGTATTCTACTATAGATCGCGTGTTCCAGTAGTCGGCGGCGCAACGTCGTCACTGTGAGGTCTCACATGGCTACCGAGTACAGATCGGTTTCTGAAGACAGAGTTCTTGTCAGTTCATTTTAAATTCTGTCTTTTTTTTTCCTATCGTTTTTTTAATTCTCTTTCCGGTTCTTTTTACTTCAAAGCCAAACCTAAATTCCATTTTGTTACCGGATTATCAGGTGTTTGTGCCACCGCATCCGTTAATCAAGCACTGGATTTCCGTGTTGAGGAATGAGCAGATTCCGTCTCCCGTTTTCAGTGAGTACAGTTCAATTTTGATCTAAACAGTTAGTAATTTGAAGTGTGGAAACTGAGAAATACTTCAAAAATTGCTACAGCCTCGATAAGAGATGTCGCTTTTTCTCTGAAATTTTCTGAAAATGGTGAAAAATTGTTTCCATGGTTAACATTTTCTGAACAATCTTTTTTCTAGGAAATGCAATGGCTGAGTTGGGGAGACTACTTATGTATGAAGCTTCAAGGGATTGGTTGGTGAGTATATTACAACATGTAGTGTTAGGAAACGTTATATTGTTCTTAATTTTTCTTCTCTATCCTTTCTCTGTCATGAACTCTTTTCCCGCCCTTTCTTTCTTCAAAAATTAGGACAGAAGCTTATAAAATATTTTTAATCATCCTTGTAATAAAATAAGTTATACAGAAAACTAGAGGCTCTACAATCTCAAAAATCAGATTGATTTTTTGTATTACCCTTCTTTATTGATCTTTGAGTTTGATCCTGAACTGGAAACGAAATTATAAATTAGAGTAAGAAAAACACAGATAACATAACAGCAGAAAAATATAAATTAAGACATTTACTAAATCAAATGTAAAAGGTTTGCAACTTTTACTGTGATAAATTCCTAAATTCATATACCCATTTAAAAATTTTCTGAGGGTTCTCAAAACAAAACAGAATTAATTTCAAGATGAGTTTAAACATGTAAAATTAATTGCCCAACCACGTGAAATTTTCCACAAATACTCAGCCAATTATTTTTGGATTTTTTTTTTTCTTTTCAGAATTACCTATTGTTTTTATTCATGTTATATCTCCGAATGTAAATTCTTTTCTGCTCACATTAATTTTCATATCGCACATAATTTTCATCTCATAATGAAATTTTATTGTACCATGCTGCTTTCAAACCATTATCAAGATGGGTTAAAAGATTTCCAGATTACAATTATAAATAGGTATTTTCTCGGATAGAAATTGTCAGGGCATAAATGAAAGGACATACATTCATCTATTCATAATGTAGGATTTACCAAATCACACATAGCCAAATTTCAGCCCCACACACAATTTCCTGAATTTCATAATGTAGGATTTTGAAATTGTACTAATTTGAATTTCTCAAATATTTTAAAGAATTCCTTCCCAATAATTTCCTGATTTAATTTCTAACCTTAATTCTTTGTTTATTCTGAAATTAGCAGTTAGGCCCAATTAAATTTTCCAGCTATTCAATAAGGCACCAAATTTATAAAAAAAATTTATCGTAAAACGTCATTACAGCAAATATAAAGGTCCTTAAAATTTCTCTGATTAAAAGTATCATAAAAATTATTTGGTATTTAATTTATGAAAATTCTTCAAATACACATTTTCTTAGTTTTTCGGAAAGCCGAGTTAATTTCTTTTTAAATTTTTTGGACAATATATAAAAATTAAGATCAATATTCTTAAGAAGTTTGAATTTATTTCGGTCATTTTCTTGTGGATAATTATTTCAAAAAAATTATTTTTGCTGTTTCCAAATTACTTTAAAATTTTCTTATTGAAAATAAATCTCCACATATATATATATATAACCTTCCTATTAATCCATTAAATCATAAATTTTCTTGAACCCAAAATCTCAATTTTTTTTATATTCAATACCCAAAAGTTTCTTATATTTTCTTTCCCTCTTTTCCGGAAATTTAAACATCAAGAAAACTTCTTTACTTAAATTAAAATAATTCTTTATCTTTTTCTGTCTCAAATTTTACCTTTTGCAGATTTGGATTTTCATGTAAAAATTATTGAAATTAAGATTAAAGGCTCCCAAATTTTTGGTAATTCACATGTTCTCTTTGAAAACCAGAAAAATTTTAGTTCAATTTTCCCTCAAAACAGATTTCTCTGCACGACTTTGTGCCATCTATTTTTCTTTTGCTCCATTAATTAATTTTTTAACCAAGCTTGTTACCAGCATATCCCAAATCCCATATAATTATTCTGAAATTTAATCACCTTTAATCAGATGCAAGCATGCAACCAAAACCATAAACAACAATTAAAATTTTATCCCTAGAAATTTTGAATTGCTTTCTTGGTGGTTTCATATGCAAAGAATAGTGAGGAACTAAAAACATGAATTTTCTGCCAGTTTCAAATGCAGAGAATGATAAAGCAAAAACAGAAATAGGAAAAACAGGTATGTTAAATTACCACAAATTTTCCCACCTTAATCGTATCTCAAATCACTCCTAATGAGGGATCAAAATTCCTCGATTTCCTTCCCCAAAAATCGACTCCTAAACCTGAACAGAAAATGGGTCTCAACCCGTCAGCTCTAACTTCTGTTTTGGCCAAAAATCCTACCCAAATTTTCCATCATTTTGTCGATTCTTTTCTCCTAAATTTATTGTATTACCCAACCTAACATATCATGCATTCGTCTCCAAAAAACCATCAGAAAACTCTTAACTAAAATATCTCAAAATTATCACGGTTGGGACATGCTTACCTACAGGTGTTGGGGTTCTGATCAGATTCTGTAAAATTGAGGTTTTATCCCTCTTAAGAGCAATTTTTTGGTTGCTTCTTCTTCCTAAATCATCACAAGAGTTTGTTTAATATTTTGGAAAATTTCACTAAAAATGGTGAAGAAAATGTGAACGGGTTACCTCAAGAAAGGACCCGTGCGATAGGTCTGCTTCGTGCAACCTGTGTAGAAGGCTCTCGGGTTTGAGCCTTTTTCTCGCTCCTTTCCTTCTAGTTTTCCTCCCTTCTTTCCTCTAAAATTTTCTTCACTCTTCCCGAGCTTCTCTTCTTTTCTCTTAATTTTGCTCTCCCTCTAGTTCAAGCTCTCTCTATCTCTGCACTCTTTTTTTGTTTTTCTGCTCACCTGACTCTCTCTGATTTCTCTCTCTCTTCAAATTCAATTTTGTACATTTTTTCTTCTCAAGCTGAAAGATCGTAATATTTTCATAAAATGCAGCAGAAGTCGTAAAATAATTTAATCTAATTTATTTATATTTAAAGATTAAATTTAAAATATATATGATACCGAATTATTAAATTAAAATTATTTAAAAATATAAATATTTTATTGTGCAGCTAATTTTTTTCAGCTTACCTCTCAACCCTTTTCAATCCCCACTCATATATATATATATATATCTCGATGTATATATATAAATATGTGGCATAGGTGTTGAAGTTCCTTTTGGACTTTTCCTGTATACATCCAAATCTATTAGGACTCTATCTACTTTTTTTTCTTTTTAATACACAATATACATATATATATTTT